ATCCTAAAGAGAACTAGGAAGGGTCAAGCCTGAGACGCTTTCTCAAATTTCATTCCTGCTTTGGGTTCAGGTTTCTCTTATCTGACTGTTGCCTTGGCTGCGGCTCTTTCTCTTCTTCCTCAAGGTTATTCTCACAGCCCATTACAGCATCCCACCTGCTCCTAAACTTTTGGGATGTTTCCTTTTAATATTTTAAGTCCCCTAAACTAACCTCCTCCCTCATGTAGATGATACCATCTTATTACCAATGCTGATGCAAGATTCAATTACTTGTATATCTGGCTTTTGTACACAGACTGTACATAGTAGCGATGAAGAATTGTAATTACATGTCAAACACAGTCCTTCCATGAAAGTCCTGACCTCTCTTGCTGACAACATTCTCCTGCAGAGAATGAGAAAGAGGATTAGTTATCCTTGACTTCATATTAATCAATAGGGAAGACAGAGTTGAGGAAGTGGTAGTAGGAGGAACATTGGCAGAAAGTTACCATGCAATCCCGGAGTTCTTAATTTTAAGGGAAACCAAAAGTGAGTATAATCATTTTTGCAGGACTTCAAAAAGGTGGATTTTAATAAATACAAAGCAATTAATTTAGGATCCTGTGGCAGAAGAATCCAATAGGAAAAGGAACTGAAGATGGATGGGACTTGCTAAAGAAGCAGATGCTAAAAGTCCAATTGCCAATAATTCCAATGAGGGAAAAAATGTAGAAAAAAGTGTATTCTTTGTGCCAATGTCCTTTTTTTGTGAATGCAAGAGGACTAGATCATAAAGGGTGAGTGCAGATTGATAACTTAAAGTTTAGAGCTATTGTCAGAAAAGCAAAACCTCAGAATGAGCTGAGGTTAGCAAAGAACACTAAGAATAAAAAAGGGATTTTTAGACACATTCAAAACATAAGGAATAAAGAGTCAGCTTTTCAAAGAAAAAGGCCAAATACCAACAGAGAACAATGAAAAGATAGAGGTATTTAACTCTTATTTTCATTTAGTATTCCCTGACAAAAAAAGTATGTTCCACAAGGTCATTGTGAAAACTGAACTGAAACACAGTCAGGGAATACCTCTTTACTTTGAATGGGTTTAGGTCCAGATAAAATGAAATTCTGAGTAATGAAGGAAGTGGCTGATGGTCTAGCTGAATCCTTATCTTTCAAAATCCTGAGGACTGGTGAAGTGCCATATGCCTGGAAGAGAAAATTGTCCCTGTCTTCAGAAAAAAGAAAAGGAAAGTTCAACTAAACTACAGACTAGGCAGTCTGATAGTGATACCCAAGAAGACACTAGAGTAAAACATAAAGACATTGATCTCTAATTTCTGTAAAAACAATTTGGTAATTAGCCAGAAGTCAGCATTGATTTCTCAGTAATAAATCTTGCTTTTAACTTCCTTAATAGATTGTGGGAGAGCTATAGGCATAATATATCTTGATTTCAGGAAAACGTTTGACAAAGTATTCCACGATAAGTTGATTAGCATGTTAAGTGTACAGTGAATGACATGATAATGCAGGGAATACATAATTTGCCTCAAAATCATAATTGCCCTCTAGTCTAAAATATTTTTATTAATTATCTGGATAAACAAGTGGAGAAAATACTTATCAGATTTGAAGATTACCCAAAATTGAGTGGGACAGCTAATATCCTAGAAGACAGAAATAAAATTGACAACAATCTCAACAAATTGGCAAGATAGGATGAAAGTAACATAATAAAATTTAAGAGATGTTCAAACATCTTCACTTAAGAAATATAAATCAGGCATAAGATGGGAGATAACTTGCTTAGCAGTTGTACTTGTCACAAAGATCTTGAAATCATAGTTGACTATAAACTGGATATGAGCTAGAAATGTGATGTGGCTGCTAAAAAGGCAAATACAATTTTAAGCTGATTCAAAGAAAGTGCAATTTTCAAGACATTGGGAAGGAATGATTATACTTTGTTCTGCTTTGTTCAGAAACCACAGCTAAGTACTGGGAACCATATCTTAAAGATTAAGGGAAATTAGAACATATTCAAAGAAGACCAACAAGGATGATTGAGGGACTAGACAAAGCCTCGTGAAAAGACCTTGAAGGAGCTGAATATGTGTAGCCTTATGAAAAAATGACTGAGAAGAAAGATGACAGCACTCTTCAAATATCTGAAAGGCTGTCACACAAAGTCAAGAGCAGTCTCTCTCACCCCCATTCCAAAGTTCAGGACAAAAACTGTTAGATTTAAATTACAGAAAGGCAAATTCCGATTGAATATTAGGGGAAAAAACAACATCCTTACAGTAAGAACAGTTCGAGCATAGAATCATTTGCCCAAAGAGGTGGTTGTTCCCTTTCATCAAATGTGTTCAAATGGAGACACACAGTCATTTGGGTGGGGAGGATTGGAATGCTTTAATTCAATTTTTCAAACTTGGCAACTTTAAGTATGGACTTCAACTCTCAGAATCTCCCAGCCAGCACTAAAGCACTGCTTTAATTTGAATCCCTGTGAAGAGCAGAGGCTCCAAAATTGAGATTCAAGTTCTAATCTACACAAGCCATGGAAGCTCAGGGAGCAAATCTGGACCAGTCCCTCTCTCTCAGCCCAACCCACATCATAGGGCTGTCGTTGTAGGGGAAACTAGGAGGAGGTAGTGCCATGTATGCCACCTTGAACTCTTGAATGAGAGACAGGATATAAATCTAATCAATCCATCCATCCGATAAGACAACTTAAAAATGCTGAGTCTTTTCATCTTGATTATCAAAAAGTCACTCCCTCCACACATGCTCATGTTCCTTGAGATTTCACCTTGCTTTTGGACCTCATATACTGTACATGAAGAGTTTACAGCCTTCAGATGCCAATATTCTCAGGAGTGGCACAAGAAAAATGTTGGAAAAGACTAGAGACAAAGAGAAAATAAGGCAACTTTGTTTCATCTGTGACATTTCTGAAAAAAAAAGTGATATCCAATCATTAATAATTCTATTCTATACAAACTTTCTTGGAAATAAATCTTTAATTTTCTTGGAGTAAATGGTCAAATAAGCATATCTGGCAGTACAAAGTATATGTAAAAAATCCTTTTCTTCAAACAATCACAGGGGTTCAGATAGAACATAAGATGTTCCCCATACCTCTGCCTCAAATTTCCTGGCTTTGGCAAAATTTTTCCTCCCATAATTATGCCACCCATGAAAAAGTAGTGTGAATGATGGTTTAAATTTGGTTCTTCTTCTATATCTACTAACTGAACTGGGGAAAGAGTGCAGATAGCGACGTTTGCAAAAATACTTGAACAATGAATAGCTCCAAAAGTTGTCCCATGTCTCCAGCTTAAGCTTGTCCATTCTCTTTTAGGATTTGGCTGGTTATACAAATATTTGTAATTTCTGAGAACAGCTATGGGTTCAAAAAACAATGTAATATTTTAAAACATAATAGAAAGGAAAACACCAATAGCTACCATTGGAAAAAAATGTGATTAAGAAAAGATCTCTTTTTCATGCAAAAAGAGAGAGAGAGAGAGAGAGAGAGAGAGAGAGAGAATTCATGTTACATACAGAAGTCTTTTTCTGCAGATATGAATTGCCAGGGTATAACCACATTTCATATCCAATTTAGGAATTAGATTTAACAGCATATATTTCTTTATGAGATCTGTGAGGAATTTGTTTCTTAACACTCAGTGAATTATGTTTTGCTAACCCCCTATCAAGGCTGATATTATTAATTTAACTGGGGTGAAATTCCTTTATTTTTCTATAAGAATATATTTTTTTAAAAATTCAGATGTTATAAATTGCATCAAACTAGAGCGTTCCTAAAACATTGGTCTGTTCTTTAGAAAGATCCTCAAATCACAGGAAAAGAACAGCACGCTATTCTGTTTGGATGTTTGAACATTATTTCTTCAATCTATCAGATTTAATAATCAAGCTTATTCATCTCATGAGGTGGTAATTCTCTTCCAAGTGCAATTATATTACACAGCAGGCTTGCTGATTATGCAGACACAGAAAAATAGTTCATCAGGAAATTACAAAAGAATTAATCATCAACAACTTGCATAGTGAAAATCGCTGTATGTTGCAGTTTTGTTCAACTATTTCACATCTCCATTCTTACCAAACCTTAATGGGGAACATATACCAACAAATGAAAAGCAGGCAACCCATAGCTGAAGTCTACATTTTAATGGTGCGTGAAAGATGAAATAGTTAAAACTTTTAAATGATGGTGTAGAATATATCATCAGTAAACATGATTTTCAAGATTAGAAACCTATAAAAGAAAAGAATGCATTATTACTGGTTCATAATATTACTGCGATAGTAAATACGAAGTTAACTGCCATATATTTCCTGGAATATTTATTACTTATAGCCTGATGAATATGCTTCAGGGACAAGAACTATTAGGTTAGTTCTGAATAATGCAATAATTATTTTAACCTAAAAGAATATGCAGGCTAATCAACATTAAAGGTATTGCTCTACCCTTTAATACCAACAGGGCAATCTTATATACTACTATTTCAGAATAACTCCTCATTAATGAAATGTGTTTATTCCAGGTTAGTATTACAGCACTGCAATTCTACAGCTATTTAACTAGGAGTATGCTCCATGGAACTCAATGGAACTGGCTTTTAAGTAAATTTAATGTAAATAAATATATAGGAATGTACTGCCCATGATTAATAATAACAAAAATAATTTCTATCTTTATTAAAGGTTAAATTTAGTAAATTTTATCTAGAGCATTTTACCAATATGTGTTAAGTATGTACAATAAGACTACCAGAGCTACAAGAGCTACAAAAATTCAGTTGACCAGAACGTAGCAATAAACAGAGTTTTCCACATCTCTTTGCTGCCTTCTAGTCATAATTGGGACTTCTGAAGCCAGATCTGGTAGGCTTAGTATATAGAAAATATGTATAAAATATCAAACTTTTATATTATACCTTTATAACAACAGACAGCAAGATGCTTGAAATAGTTCCTTCAATCATAATCATAGATATCCCACTGGTCATTGTCTGGAGAGTAACCCATTTGTTTCTTCACATCTTGTTTTTCATCATTTTCTTTTATATCTAAAAATTGTGTGCATGTTATTCAAATAGTAAAGCAAATTCTATTCATTTCTATGGCAAGAAACTGTTTCTCTTATGTGAATGAACAATACCACCGTTGTGAAATGGTTCACTGTTGGTTGAAATGTATCAATGTTTTAAATTTATCAATAAGAATAAAAAGCAGAATATGCCACAATACAATACCTCTCAGTAAAAGTGCATCATGATTTCACGAAATAGCTAATAACCAACCAACACAATCTGTTGGAAGTACAAGGAACTTTGCGATTTTTTTTTTTTTTAGTCTTTTACAACTGACTTCACTGGAAGTAGGTGTTATTACTCCCATATTCAAGTTCTTATTTGAATATTATGGAATACTGGGGGTGGGGGGTACTGGAAATAACTGTTGAAAGTATTTAATAGACAATGATAGATTATCAATATGATTTCAACATCTAGACTTAGGAATATTCAATACTGCAAGAAAATCAGGCCTACAGGAAACACCCAGAGGAAAACATGAATTAAATATATGCACCCTATACTGCATGCATACTCTGTAACATTTATTTATTCAATAATCTCAAGTCCCTGTGCCCTTCCTCCAAGAAAGTTAATGGTACTGTACGTGGAAGTATCCCATTTTAATCCTTAAACTTATGGTGTGGATAACTTAGGCTGTGGAATATTTCCAGGTTCAAAATTATCAATAAGATTAGAATTAATGTTTCAAGCAGAATGATCAGGCTTTGTAACATGAGTCTGCTGCCAAAAAGTCAGCTGCCTGCCTGATTCTCTCTTTAATGTCTAATATTGCCTGCTTCCTGTTATGACATTATGAGATTCCTACCCCTGCTCTGATTACTAGCTATTGTTAGCAGACAGAGGGAAAAACACGTTATTGTGTTTTGGCTACGGCATTGGCTACGCTGAACTGTGTGTCATGGCAAAAGATAACTCAATACTGTATTTTTTAATGCCTTTCTATGCATAAGACTTCATGACTAAACAAAAATTAAGCCTGGATTTCTGTCTCCAATTTTCTAGATCGACTGTCAAAATAGCTTTAGATGGAACATTTTAATACAGTTCGGCATGATTTCATTATCACTGACTTACATGCAGCAGAAATATTTCTGACTGCAGTCTCTTACTTCATTTCCTACAAACCTTCTAGCAAGATCAACAAATGAGGCAGAATCCTACATCTGACAGCTCATTCATGATAAAACTCTACTTCATTCTCAGGCTCCCATTCCCATCTTCCGTTGAGTATCTCAGTGCTCCCATACAGGCAAACATGTGATACCATAATTAAATACATTGTTACCCCACATAGAGAAAGAACATATAACCCCTTAAAGACAGCACTAATTTCTAGTACCAATTTATGCTGACAAATTGACATTCTGATTTCTAAATAGGGTTTCCTGATAACTAAGTCCTGCACGTTCTAGAGTTTAGGGGTTATTGTACAGTAAATATGCACCTTTTGGATACCTTTGCACAATAACCAAGATATAATAAAGTTCTCTTTATAAAATCTGTAGAAACCCTCATCCTATAGATTGCACAGAATAGAAAATTAAATGAAATCAATTCACAGCCCTGATCCAGTATATGGAAGTCTTAAAGCGGCATAAAAGAAGGCATTTGCCTATCAAGACAAATGGGATTTCACACATTATCACTTCCCTGGAAATGGCATGCCCGTTAATTGCTGAATATTTGCAGCCTGAGGCAAACCTGAAATGTTTCCACAATATGGCAATGGGAATAAAAACAGGATATTCTAATCGGTTGTGTTAGACAATTTTATTGACACAGTGTACTACTACATCTGCAATATAAATGAAATAATAATACTCAGGACTAAGTGTCTACAATTATACCTTTTCACCAAGAAAAGTAATTGAGAGTACAAAGCATTTTTCTCATTAAATTCATGATACTCAGTTATCTACCTAAACCTAATCAACCAAGAAATGAAACCTGATGTGAAAGGAAGAGTAAATAGGCTGTTCTTGTTACTATATGAATTTTAACGTAAAGGCCTGAATATCATAAAATTAACTTTAGGGTATTTTGGTATCTTTGCCTATGTCTAGAGACTTAATGCAGAGACATTTCAAAGAAGGGATTAAGGAAGAAAAAAAATCTTTAGAAGACTCCATATGGAAAGTAGGAAAAACAATGCGTATGGTGTACATGAAACTGGTATGTTTATTTTATTTTCATCCAATTAAATATATCACTGCAAATAGGAAAATCAGATATATTTTAATAAATATGCTGTCAGATAATTTATTGCTGTTGCCAGTATTCTAGAAACAGGCAATATTAACAGTCTCATTAAGTTTGATCAAATAAACTAATGATTTTACAATTAACGCAATTATAAAGGAAATTCTTCCCAAGGGCAGAATAAAATTCAGAATAGAAATAATGCAAAGTAAGCCTTACATGTACAGTGATACTTGCCAATTTCATGAACTTGATATGCAAATCAAATCTCTTATTTCTTATTGAAGAAAATAAAACATAAAATAAACATTTAAAAACACATAATGAAAAAGGAAAGAATGAAAAAGAAGAAATGAAACTTCAGAGGTGAATATTCAACCATATGCAAAATTTCTACCCAGAACAACATCTGAACATATTAAGAGTAATTCATAAGGAAAAACAGTTGATAAACCTAAGAAATAGTAAGTGGTCAATTGAAAATCCAAGCCTCAAAGGAGGGAGGCAATTCTTGAGAAAGTACAGCAAGAAGATGCTGGAGGGGAGGCTGAAAATAAATGGGGCTACACCATCTCAATCCAAACTTCAACAATACACAGAACGAGAACTGTGACATGTATAAGCTGGATTCAAAAGAGGCAGGGTCACCCAAAATCACAATGCTAATATCCAGTGGATAACGGAAAGTGCAAGAGTTCCAAAAAGATGTCTTTTTTTGTTTATTGACTTTTGTCTGCATGTACCACAACTAATTATGGATAGCTCTGGATAGGGATTGTGCATGAATTAACAATAACAATAATGTTCTAACTATATATGGGTCAAGTCACTTATGACCTTTTTTTAAAAAATCTATGTGATAATGATACTCATAAAACTTGATAAAAAACGAGATAGATATCAGCCACACTGGGATTCCAGATCACTTTAAAAATTATGCTTCTTAATGTCCAGCACTGCATTACAATATTTCAATATATTGTTTTTTTTTAATTTAAAAATATCATAGTGTATTTAGATATGCGCTCTCAAACACATACATACGTACATGAGATGCAGGAGAGAGGGAAACCCTTTAAAAATTTAAACACCAAAATGGAATACATGAGGTTATCTTGATTTAAAGAGCAAAAGGACGGAGTCCTTAATGTATAATATTCAAAAGTGTATATTTGTGTGTAGTAGTCAAAATCTACTGGAAGCCCTGCTACGCTAGCAAAACCTGAAATGAGTTGCTAGCATAAGGATACATCCATGCAACATTTCCAGATACATTAGTGAAACAATCCATTAATGAAAATGTATTAGAGCAATTGCCAAAATGATAAGGTGTTATGCTTAGGATGTACAAGGATGCCCTGTTGCTACCTCCTTAAAGCCTTCTGAATTCAAACACATATATTCCTAAAATCACACAATTACCATGTAAGCCCAGGAAAAGGTGTGGCTCCTTTAAAGAGCTGCAGGTATAGAGAGAGTACCTGTAGCAGATCTAAAGAACTTTTACCTGCTTGAGGTTCAAATTCTGCATGGTCCTACTTAGATATTTAACAAGTACTTGTTTCAGAATTCCTGATATAAACTTCCAGAATGGACTTTCAACAACTGAGGGCACCAGGGCATAGGCATATATGGGTAAGAAGAATGCTATAATATAGACAGTAATTGCTGCAACTGTTTTCTGTTTCTGCAAAACAGAAAACATGTTCTATTGAACCCAAACACTGCATTTTGGAAATTCTGTCAAGCCATTTCAGGATGGCCAAATTCAGCTGAACAGTTTTGTAGGAAACACTGGTATTCTGAATGAACATCTTGGCCTGCAAAAATCTGAACAACCACTAGACAGCAGCAAAGAGAGACAGAAATGCTAACTTTCTTTTCCTGTCTAACTGTTGCCCAGATTTTTACAACCCAGAACTGCTAGCATTACCCTATCCTTCCTTGAGCTCAAAGCAACATTTTCTCTGGAGGTATAAATAATTTAACTGAAAGGAATGCGAGGCAAAACGTGAAGTTCTGTATTTTTGATCTCTTGCAGACAGTGGAATGCGAGGAAGCAGAGAAATCCTTCTCTCTCTTTCTATCTGACTAAAACCACCACCTGCCCATAATATTGAATCAATACTGAAACTAAAAGAAGTAAACTAAAATAAATGGGGTTGAGGTGGTGGAGGTTGCCTCAGAGGCAGGCAGGCAAGCACCCAGGTACTTACCACTGGTCACTACCACTCGAGCAGAAGCACCAGTCCAGTGCTGAATCCAATGGTCCCTCGCAGCCATTTCTTCCTCTGTGTAGCTCATTCTCCAGTGACAGTTCCAGAATGGCTCTCTCACAAATGCCTGCTGCCTTGCTCCAAAACTCAACTCAGATCACCCCCCACCCAGCCTATGTCAATAGTAGGAGGAACATGAACAGTCCCTCCTACTATGGCCTAGACAGAAGAAGAAGTAAGGCAACTTCCAATCACAGCAGCTAAAACAGTTGACTTGAAACTCTTCTACCCAGAACTTCATTTTGACCCCTGTCTGGAACAAAACATCTCAACACGCATGTTTCAGCACCCCAAACCACTTGCTCCATGCACAGAAGGGTTCATACATGAATGTTTTGCATATCCCACTCAGAAATGACTGTTAACACCCATGTGCTCACTCCGTTGTTCTCTACAGTATATCTAAATTCTGGGATTATGTGCCCCTCCCAACTGTTTTCTCAAAGGCACAGGATTTATCCCACCTCCTGTAATGGGATACCAGGAAGGCATCCTTTGTATGACTTTTTACCTATGGATCAAATGAGCATTTGTGCAAGCTACCAGAGGGGCAGCAGACAACTCTTCTCCATTTCATACTATTCACTTTTCGCTGCATACCTAAGAAAATGTTAAATGTATCCACAAAAATATGAAGAATTAATGTAATAAATGCACATGTACACATATCAAAAGATCTTAAACTGGCTGTTAAGGCATGCTTCTGGACTGAGATGAGCAGCTACAGAAATTGCATAAATAAATAAATAAAATAAATAAGGAAGATCTAACACAGGTTGATTATTAGGAGGGAATAAGAAAAACACATTTCATAAAAATCAAAAAAGATTTTGCTCTTTCAAAGAAAGTGTCAGGTGGTACATTTGGGACAAAGAAAAAGGCCACATTGTTCTGTCTCATCTTACAAAATATCCACAAGTCAGAACTGATCAAAGAATGCTGAGATGACTACAGGTATAAACCTCTTACTAATTATAACAGCCAAGGGCTAAGATGTGAAAACGCCTATGGATCAGGCCAAGGGCCCAGCTAATCCAGGATTCTGTTCCACCATAGCCAAATGCTGTTGAGCAGCCTATGAGCAGCACATCCCTGATCATGCGTCTCATGCACTGCAAGTGGTACAAAAAATATACTGTCCCATGGTGAGGGAGAGGGAGAGGGAGAGGGAGAGGGAGA